ACCCGAGTCCACTACTACCTGTCGCGGAAGTGCCAAAGGCTGCTGAGGGGACTGTGAGGAGGACTGCGGGGAGGGAGACGCTACCTGACGCGCGACCGAGGGTAGGGGGGTAGCGTGGGACACACCAGACGGGGCAGGACCAGGGGGGGGCGGGGGTACCGGAGGAGCGGGAGCAGGAGGAGGAGAGGGTGCGAGGAAAAGGGGGGGAGGGGGTACCAGGAGACCTCGACAGGGGTACCGGGTGTAGTAGGACACGGACTCGTCAAACCGGACGTCACGGGAGTCTAGGAACTGGTGGAGGGGAGGGTGGTAAAAGGACCAGTCGGCAGAGTCCACCGGGAAACCAAGGAAGACACAGGGGACGGCGCGTGCCGAGAGCTTGTCCGCGGAGGTGTCGCGAACAAGCGCAAGGCAGCCCCAGACACGAAAGGCCGACCCAACACCAGGGGACCCGGTCCAAAGACTGGTTGGTGAAGCCTCGGGCCGCAAGACGCGCGGCTGTAGGTTCAGGTGGTGTGCGGCGTAGCGAACCGCGTAGGGCCACAGAAAATGGGGCGCACGGGCATGGATCATGGACGTGCGAGCAATGTCCATGACCAAGCCAATGCGGCGCTCAGCAACCCCATTCTTCTGTGGGGACTCCGGAAGCGTCCAGGACTGTACGATGCCCTATTCGCCGCAGAATCCGCCAAGAATGCCGGAGCGAAACTCGCCCCCACGGTCGGAGTGTAGACAACTGACACGATGACCACGAGTGCCCTCAGTGGTCAGAAGCCACCGGATCAGCGTAGCAGTCACCTCGGACTTCTTCGCTAGAGGAAACACTGTGCTGTACCTGGAGAAGTCGTCGACGACCACCAGAAAGTAACGCTCCCTCCCAGATCCCTGCGTCGGAGCAGGGCCCCAGACGTCCAAGTGGAGAGTCTCGAAGGGAGCAGTGGCCGGAGGAAGGGAGGAGGAGTGAGGAGTGGCGCGAAAGCGACCGGCGACGCAAGGAGTGCAAGGGGGAGCAAGTGAGGTAGGGAGCGACGGAAAGGTGCGTGGGAGACCTATGACAAGCCCCTGGCTGGTTATGCCGCGGAGGCGGGGGATCGACGGGTGACCAAGGCGGTGTTGCCACAAGACGGTCCGGTGGGTGAGGGAGCGACAGGAGCAAGACGCAGCAACCGGACAGGACACCGCGACCGGACTAGACACTGCAACTGAACCAGACACGACCACCTGGCTAGACACAGCAACCGGACTGGACACCTGGACTGGAGGGGACGCAACGACCTGAGCGGAGGACGCAACCGGGGAGCGCTCGGTGTGGAGAACGTAGAGACCGGAGCGGGGCTCCCTGGTGAACGTGGCCAGAACAGCACCTGTGGCAGCGTCTGTACAGACCGCAGTCCTCCCACCCCCCACAAAGGTAACCGTGATCCCCCTGTCCTGGAGGTAACCAACACCCACCAAGTTCCGAGTGAACGAGGGGATGTGGAGGCCGCGCAGGAAACCAGAGGGGACCACAGGACACGGGAGGGTAGTGGAGCTACACGCAACGGCTGGTCCTGAGGTAGGATCAGCCAGAGCTACCAAAACAGGAGTGAGGAGTGGCGTGAGGGTCGTGTGGTCGCGGAAGAAGCACTGAGACGCACCAGAGTCCAGCGTGAAGGACAGGGACGCCTCAGCCGGAGGGTCACCTGTCCTAGTGGCTACACAAGCACCTAGAGAAGCAACACAAGCACCTAGACTAGAAAGGCACAAGTCTACACTAGCAGGAGGCAAGCAAGCTAATCTACGAATACGCGAGCACACAGATCCATCAGCACTATAGTCAACATCAGCATACAAAGCATGCTGACGAGCATCGTCCATGGACAGATCAAACACATCAATCTTACGGGCTAACAGGCGAGCCCAGCGAGGCGTGGTCGCCGCAGGGCCCCAACTAGCACGGTAGAGGTCGTCGAGGCGGCGGAAGCACCGCGCGGCAGAGTGGTCGTTGCGACCGCAGAGGCAGGGGCTGCCCGGTCCGGTGAGGCACCAGTGGGTGCAGGGGCCAGTGTCACGGCGAGGGAGGCGAGGGGCCAGCTGGAAGTACTGCCGCCGCGGCCGGTGCTCCCTGGTCCTCCCGGACCCCACTGCGGCGGGGGGCCCCAGTGCTGCTGCGGACCCCACTGCAGTGGGGGCCCCCACTGCTGGAACTGCTGCGGTGCCTGCTGCTGCTGCGATCCCTGCTGCTGCTGCTGTCCCTGCTGTGGCTGGTGCTGCTGCGACTGCTGCTGCTGGGGTCCAGCACCCCCACTGGCCGGGCCACCGCCAGTGGGCGGGCCTGTCTGTCCTGCACCTCCTCCAAGGCCCCCTCCTCCTGGTGCACCGCCGCCGCCGCCGCCTCCACCACCGCCGCTTCCACCTCCACCGCCACCTCCACCGCCGCCTCCACCGCCTCCACCTCCCCCCTTCCCGCCCTTCTTGCCACTCTTGCCCCGTTTCTGCCAGTCTGCGGCAGAAACGACAGCAGTGCCCTCAGAAACCGACACAGCAGCAGAAGCGCGGGTAGCAGTGAAAGTGGGAAGCTGAGGGGCGGCACACCCCGCAAAGAGACGGGGGGCCACCGCGTCAGTGGCGGAGGCAACGGTGAGGAGGCTACTCTCGATCGTCCCGTGAGCTCAGTGGGGTGCTTCTGGAGAAGCGCGTCGCGAGCAGTGGCAAGGCGGTCAGGGAGGCGGGTGACTAACCAGTGCACAGTGAGCCACATGGGGGGGGGGAGGAGCAGCAAGAAGCTGGGCGTCGGTATAGGCCGCACGGAAACCGGCGTCAAGTGAGCGGAGGTGAGTCACTAGGTCGGACCCAGTCGCAAACGAGCCGAGGTTGGGAAACACGAACGGCATGAGGAGGCGACTGAGGGAGGCAGAGGAAGGGGTGGAATAGCGTGCAACAATAGCATCCCAAACCCCCTGAGCTGTCTCCACCTTGTCAAAGTGGGCGGCCTCAGTCGGGGGGAGGAGCTCCGTCAGCGCAAAGAGCGGCGGCAGCGTCGCGGGGAGTTCCACACGTCCCTCGCCAGGACCCGACGGTCGTAGTCCGCCTGGGCCGCAGGAGTCGGCTCTGGGCCGGTCGGCAGAGGGGCGGGGGATTGGGGCGCCTTGAGGGCACCAGACGCGTGGGCCCACAGGGTGGCGCCGTCCTGACTCCGACTGGTGAGGTAGCGCGTGGTCTGGCGCTGCCAGGTATTGAACTCGATCGGGCGTCCCTCCGCATCAAAACGAAGGCGGCGGGATTCCATAATGGAGGCCATGCTAGAGGCGGCTGGAGCACGGAGGAGAAAAAACACGGAGTCCTAGGAGCGCCAGTGGAGACTAAGGTAGAGACCGGCGGAGGACTGAGCAGACTAAGCGAGGCGGGAAACTGGAGGCTAGGAACTAGGCTAGAGACTAGTCTACATAGGGTCACCAGGGAGAGGAGCGGCTGCCAGCCGCTGAGCAGAAAGCCAGTGACAGTAGGGACGGTTCGGGCCCGGTGAACAGGGCGGTGGAGGGGTTAACCCTAAAATGACCACGGGCCTGGTGAGAGTTCGGGCCGGGCGGCGCACGGCGAGGGCTAGTGCTAACGGAGGAAAGGGGCGTGAGCAGAGGGCGGGCTGGTGCGCGGGCGTGCACTAAGGGAGGGCGCGGAGACGCGGAGGCGCGGAGGCGGAGGCGCGATGTGCGGAGGCGCGGAGGCACGAGGCGGAGGTGCGGATGCGCGAGCTAGGGCGCGGGCCTGGGCGACGGGCTAGGGCGCGGGCCTGGGCGACGGGCTAAGGCGCGGGCCTGGGCGACGGGCTAGGGCGCGGGCCTGGGCGACGGGCTAGGGCGCGGGCCTGGGCGACGGGCTAGGGCGCGGGCCTGGGCGACGGGCTAGGGCGCGGGCCTGGGCGACGGGCTAGGGCGCGGGCCTGGGCGACGGGCTAGGGCGCGGTGTTGAATTATATTTGCATATCCTGTTATAACTGCCTACAGCTTGCTAGTGTATTAGTTAGATATTAGGTTCAACTGCTGGTGGTGTACCCTTTTCTCCTTTCCCTTGCCTATATCTTTGTATGCTTTCCTATTATTGAACCTCTTTGGCCAAACCCCTCTCTCAATACCATCGCCATGCTTCCGCTTCCTAACTCTCAACTCTAGCCATGGCTTCATGCCTAACAGCTTATCTCGACACGCGGGCCTGGGCGACGGGTTAGGGCGCGGGCCTGGGGGCGCGGAGGGCGCTAGGCGCGGAGGACGGTGCGGGCTAGGGGCGCGGAGGGCGCTGACGTGCGGAGGAGGAGGGCGCTAAGGCGCGGAGGCTAAGGCGCGGAGGGCGCGGAGGGCGCGGAGGTGCGCTAGAGAGGGCGCGGGCTAGGAAGAAACGAGGAACTAACCTACTCGTGATACCATCTCAAAGTAGGAATGCAACGGAATGAATGAACTAGCAAAGTGTTGGATACAAATAGGAAACCCTAACATCTGTACCCTCTAGAATGAATCTAACTACAGCCTATAACTATGATAGTTGACAGCAATGTACGGTACATTCAAAATTTGGATTTCAGTCTCACTGTAATATTCTGCTCGTCAGAACGCGTGAGCTATTGTAGCTGTTCCCTGAATTAGTCAGGTGTACATACCAGGTCACAAGTCAGACTTCTTTTTTATCGTCCTCTTCCACCCGTAGTAATTCACTTCGCATCGTTTCTATACACCCCAGAAACCATGCTGCTGTTCTACAACAATGACTCAAAATTTGATTAATGACAACACAGGTAATTTTTTATATTATTATGGTACGTTCACGTTTTATTTTCAGAAAAGCTTGGGAAACTGGAAGAACGGCTTTGGCTCCTCGTATTGGGCCTCCAACACCGCAATCGTCTCGTCGATGTGCTTCTCTGGTTGAAACTGGTTGTTAAATATGAGCTGCAGTAAGCAAACGGGTATGCAAATGTCAGAACGGATAATACTGCCGAAGAAAATAATGAGTAGTTTGAAGCGACTTACCTGCACGACGCCCTTCTTGTCGATCACATAGGTTTGACGCCCAGGAAGGACCCCAAACAAATCACTGGGGACGCCCCACTCCTTGCGCACAGCGTTGCCCTCGTCAGACATTAGAGTGAAGGGTAGGCTGTACTTCTCGGCGAACAGCTGCAAGATAAGAAGAGCGTGAGAAGAGCGTTAGTAGTTGGCACTGGATGTCAATCTTCCTGGAAGCAATTCACCATATTATCAGCAAGCACCTTGTGCGACTCGGGCGAATCGCCGCTGATTCCGACAACTTCAGCACCTAATTTCCGGAATTCCTCAAAGGAGTCACGGAACGAGCATGCCTGCAGCATCAATAAGTGTGTTAGACAAATATGACGGAAATGGGCTACACAACAGTGAGTTCGGAGCTGACGAAGCGTGAACATGCACCTGCTTGGTGCATCCAGGAGTGTCATCGGCGGGATAAAAATAAAGAACCACGCTCTTCTTCCCTTTGAGCTTGGCCAAGTCGAACACGCGACCATTCTGGTCGGCCAGACTCAGAGGCGGGGCCTCGTTCCCAACGGAAACCTGAATTCATGCATAAAATGACACCATATTTTTTAGCAGCTGCGACTAGGACTGATTACACCATGCATGCGCAACTTGTGTGAAAGCCGAACCTTGGCGACGACATGGTTAGACCGCTTAGAAACGAACGCTGAAGTCTGCCGCTTGCTGACGGCCTTGAAATTGAGATTTACGCCAACGAAAGAAGATCCTGAGAGATTCGAAACGCCTTTCACAGCTGGGAAGACCTGCGCGACGCAGCTTCTCGAAGAAGGAACGAAATTGCAAAGCGCAACGGAGCTAAGAGCAGCCATGACGAAAAGAGCCACTACAATTCACTGTGACTGGGAATAAGAAAGCGAGTCTTCTTGAATAAGAATGATTAGCAAGCGATGAGTAAATGACGACGGCACTAGACTGGACGAGATCGAAAGTGCAGATCGAGAGCGTTCCAGCCATTTTGGAGGGCCACGTATGGAAGGACACATGGGGTTCATGTTCGTTCAACTTCGCTAGCCAATTGTGGCCACTTTAGGGCAAAGATCAAATAGGGGCCGGAAAATAGCACGGGGGTGTCCAAATTAGGACCGGGTAAATCCCAACCGTACGATACATCCCCGGAGCTGCCCATGTGGCTGGGCCAATAACTCGAACCGAAATTGTGAGGAAATTACTAGAATAGCGACGTTGTTGATACAATGTCTTCCTCTGGGGGTATGTTTCATCGTGTTTATATTATTGCGACACATCGCTCTACCTGACCTAAAAAATAAAACCCACTCGGAAACGGATGCGACTCGGGGAGGCATCAACCCTAAACGCCAGGCGTGTTCCCGTGTTTAGGGTTGATCCCTCCAAAAACTCCGTCCAGGTTTGTGAAGGGTTTTAGTTTTGTTTCCCTGCCCTAACAGTTCCCGGTACACGGTTTAGGGTTTCGGGTTTTGCGGACACGTACAGTCTGAACCTACCTTTTGAAGCAGGAATCGCTACTGCTTGATTAAGAGTGAATACAGGGCGAACCCAAAAGGCATCTTACTGTGAACTTTTTATTTCCTAGCAGTAACAGAAAAAAATAGGACAGCATTCTGGTGGCAACATAAATTTATATAGTGTTGAACCTTCAAATTTGTGTTTTCCGGCACGCATATTAGTATCACCGCTTTCTGCCGCCGCCTGCCTTACCCTTCGGCTGTCCCCTCCCCTTGCTGGCAGGGCCCTTACCCTTCCTGCCCTTGCCCTTCCTGGCATTAGCCTTGTCAGCACGCAGGTCCTTCTTCATGCGCCGGTCCACCATGATGCTGTTCTTCACACCGCGCCCGCGGTTGCCCTGCTGCCCCTTCTTCGCCACCACCACAATCTTCTTGGGCGGCCGCTCCGACGCCACCTTGCTGTAGGCGCGCTGCATGAGGCGCCCCTTGGACCGCTCGTTCAGGTCCGGCTGCTCCGAGATGGCCGTCGCCTTCTGCCGCGCCGCCTCCACCTGCTTCATCAGCCGCCGCCGCTTCCGGCCCTTCGCCTCCGCCACCTGCAGCGGCGGGGAGTGGGGGGGAAGGAAGAGGGCAGATGAGAAGGGAGTAAGACGGAGAGACAGCCAAGGAAAGAGTTGCCAGGGACGGTGCCTCTGCTTGTTGCCTCTACGTGCGTGCCAGAAACGCAATCAACATCGCAGCACAAGTAAACGCAATCAACATCACGGACTCTTCCACCGGGGCAGTTCTTGCCACGTTCACCAGAGAGCCCCACTCAGGTCTCTTCGTCCTGCACACTCCGCCCCCGCAGGTAGCTGCGTCTGGTCAGGTTGCTTTGTCCCCCCCGGTAGCAGAGTCCGGTCAGGTGGCTGTGTCCAGTCCGGTCGCTGTGTCCAGTCCAGTCGCTGCGTCTTGCTCCTGTCGCTCTCTCGCCCACCGCACCGTCCTGTGGCACCACCGTCTTGGCCACCCGTCGATCCCTCGCCTTCGTGGCATGCTCAGTCAGGGACTAGTCACAGGTCTCCTACGCACCTTCCCGTCGCTCCCTCCCTCGCTTGCCCCTCCTTGCTCTCCGTGCGTCGCCGGTCGCTTACGTGCCACTCCCCACTCCTCCTCCCTTCGTCCGGCCACCGCTCCCTTCAAGACTCTCCACTTGGACGTCTGGGGCCCTGCCCCGACGCAGGGGTCTGGGAGGGAGCGCTACTTTCTGGTGGTCGTCGACGACTTCTCCAGGTACACCACAGTGTTTCCTCTTGCGAAGAAGTCCGAGGTGACTGCTACGCTGATCAGGTGGCTTCTAGCCACTGAGGGCACTCGTGGTCGTCGAGTCAGTTGTCTTCACTCCGACCGTGGGGGCGAGTTTCGCTCCGGCATTCTCGGCGGATTCTGCGGCGAACAGGGCATCACCCAGTCCTGGACGCTGCCAGAGTCCCCACAGCAGAATGGGGTTGCTGAGCGCCGCATAGGCTTGGTCATGGACATCGCCCGCACGTCCATGATTCATGCCCGTGCGCCCCATTTTCTGTGGCCTCACGCGGTTCGCTACGCCGCACACCAGCTGAACCTCCAGCCGCGTGTCTCGCGGCCCGAGGCTTCACCGACCAGTCTCTGGACTGGATCCCCTGGTGTTGGGTTGGCCTTTCGAGTCTGGGGCTGCCTTGCACTTGTTCGCGACACCTCCGCGGACAAGCTCTCGGCACGCGCCGTCCCCTGTGTCTTCCTTGGTTTCCCAGTGGACTCTGCTGACTGGTCCTTTTACCACCCTCCCCTCCACCAGTTCCTAGATTCCCGTGACGTCCGGTTTGACGAGTCCGTGTCCTACTACACCCGGTACCCCTGTCGAGGTCTCCCGGTACCCCCTCCCCCTCTCTTCCTCGCACCCTCTCCTCCTCCTGCTCCCGCTCCTCTGGTACCCCCGCCCCCCCCTGGTCCTGCCCCGTCTGGTGTGTCCCACGCTACCCCTCTCCCCTCGGTCGCGCGTCAGGTAGCGTCTCCCTCCCCGCAGTCCTCCCCACAGTCCCCTCAGCAGCCTTCGGCACTTCCGCGACAGGTTACTGTGGACTCGGTTGGTGTTGGAGCTGGAGGTGCAGCCGCTGGCGGTGCTCGGTCTGGGGGTGCTCGGTCGCGGGGTACTGGAGCTGGAGGTGCTGGCGCAGGTGACGCTGGTTCTGGGGGTGCTGGAGTTGGGGGTGCTGGCACTAGCGGTGCTAGTTCTGGGGGTGCTGGAGTTGGAGGTCCTGGCACTGGCGGTACTGGTTCTGGGGGTGCTGAGTCTGAGGAGACTGACGCTGGAGACCCTGGTTCTGCGGAGTCCACCCCGCCCCCCCACCGCCACGACACGCGTCTCCAGGCTGCCCGTCGGCGTGAGCGTGAGGAGCAGGAGCGGTTGGAGAGGGAGCGGCAGGAGCTGTGGGTGCTGGACCTTCTGGAGCAGCAGCGGCAGCAGCAGCAGCAGCAGCAGCAGCAGCAGCAGCAGCAGCAGCAGCAGCAGCAGCAGCAGCAGCAGCAGCAGCAGCAGCAGCAGCAGCAGCCGCAGCCGCAGCCGCAGCCGCAGCCGCAGCGGCCGCAGCCGCCACCGCAGCTTCCTCTAGAGCGGCGGTTGTTCCCACCTGTGAGTGGCCTGCGGGCCCTTGGCCTTTCCTCCTCTCCTCCTGTCCGCTCCCAGTCTCTTCCTGTGTTTGTTCCTCCGTTGCCTCCTCCTGACGACCGTCCGGCGGTCTGGTCTTCTCCTCCTCCTCAGTCTCCTCCTCCCTCTGTCCGTCGCGACTTGATCACTCGTTGTCCTCCGCGTGCTCGTCACTCGTCCCCTGTTACTGACCTCCACACTGCCCTCCTTTGTTCGTCTCGTCGTCGTTCTCCTTCTCCTGTGTCCGTTCTCCCGTCTCCTCCTCCGTCCTCTCTACCTGCCCTCCCCACTCCTATCTCTGACTACTACCGCGCTGTTCGTCCTGTTGCCGCTCGTGTCCTCACCACTCTTGTCACCGACCCTCGTTTCCCTCCGTCGTCTGTCTCGGCTCTCACTGCCGCTGTCGCTGAGTTTGCTGCCGCCAGCCGCCTTGACTACGCCACCCGTGTGGTGCCAGCTCCTCCCTACCGTCCTCTGTCCGTCGGGGGTGGGTTTGCCCTTGGCTGTGACGTCCTAGAGGACAGAGAGTCCGAGCTGGAGTACTGGGCAGCCGCTTCTCCCTCTGTGTGTGCCATGCTGCTCTCCCCTGAGGGAGATCCCGACGCCCTTGACATACCGACTCCTCGCACTTACCGCGAGGCAGTGTCAGGGGCGTGGGTCTCTCAGTGGAAAGCGGCTATGGACTCAGAGTTGGCGTCTTGGAGATTCACAGGCACCTACGTCGACGCAGTTCCCCCTCCCAGGGCGAACGTAGTCGATGGCATGTGGCTCTTCAAGGTGAAGCGGCCGTCTGGAGCACCGCCGGTGTTCAAGGCGCGCTACGTGGCTAGGGGTTTCAGTCAGCGTGAGGGAGTTGACTTCTTCCAGACCTTCGCCCCGACCCCGAAGATGACTACTCTTCGGGTGTTACTCCACATAGCAGCGCAGCGAGACTACGAGCTGCACTCCCTCGACTTCTCCACTGCGTTCCTCCAGGGCCGACTGCACGAGGAGATCTGGCTGCGCCGTCCTCCTGGCTTCACTGACACCTTCCCACCTGGGACCCAGTGGAGCCTGAGGCGACCAGTCTACGGTCTCCGCCAGTCGCCCCGTGAGTGGCACGACACTCTTCGCTCCACGCTTCGTGACCTTGGGTTCAGCCCGTCCTCCGCCGACCCGTCGCTGTTTGTTCGAGCGGGTTCTACTCCTTTCTTTATCCTTGTCTACGTCGACGACTTGGTGTTTGCTACAGCAGACAGGGCAGCCCTGGCTCAGGTGAAGTCCGAACTGCAGAAGAGACACAAGTGCACTGACCTGGGTGAGCTGCAGCGCTACCTTGGCCTGCAGATCACCCGGGACAGAGCCGCTCGCACCATCACACTGACGCAGTCACACATGGTGCAGCAGGTCCTTCGGCGGTTCCACTTCCAGTTCTCCACCACACAGCC